AGGGGAGCGGCGCTGAGCGGGCCGGAGGCGCGGGTCAGGATGGGAGCAGCCCAGACAGAAACCAGGCGACTGGAACAGGGGACGGACACATTGCCGGGCCCCTGCTTTCCTGGCTGCTGGGGAAGCCGGAGCGATTTTCTGCCTTCTGCCTTTTCCTCCCAGGCTCCCTTCTCGCCTCCCTGGCTGGTCACTATTCCCAGTTAAGCAAACCTTATTTGGACCTCTTAACCGGCTGGGGAAGCCACTTGCTCTATGACCCCTTGCAGGGACGGTGGGTTAAAAGTTGTCTTGACGAAGCTGAGTTGTCCTGGGAGGAGCTGAGGGAGCGCTTCAGCTGCCTCTGTCGGGGATCTGTGCTACTCAAGGGCCAGACTCAAGCTACTCTGAAACGCCTGAAGGCACAGGATGGAGACTTCAAAGTCTGTGGCCTAAGTGTGTGGACTGACTTGCTGATGGAATTAGAGGAATATCTGAGGAAAGAAGCAGAGCACTAATGTGTGAACGCAAAAGCAGCATGAAAACTTCTGAAATCCAGCAAATCTGCTTAACTATTTGATATGAAAGCAAGAAAACTATACGGCACTTTGGGTTGAAAACCAAGCATCGTTGTGACTGCTGATCACGCTGTTTCTGACTGCATGGGAAGTCTTTCAGGGAGGCCTGGTGCTTTCTTGTAAATTCGCGCTGTCAATTCTGGTCACTGCAGGAAATGTCTTCCTTTTCAGTACTTGCTGCTCACCTAATAAAATGAAGAAAATGCTTCCTGTCTCAAATATAGAATAGTTTTCTGTTTAGAAAATACTACAGTTCAGACGTGGTCATGGTAGTTGTCTCGCCAATGTTGGAGGCTGACCAAAAGCTCAAAGGGAAGGTGGAGTTTCAAACGAGAAAACCCCAAATTTAGGGTTAATTTAGTAGTAGTTGTCTTCATTGGGCTGTCTGCTCCGGTGGCCACTTTCATGCTTCTATAGCTGTTGCACATGACTTAGCCCCTGGGTCTAAGTGAAGGTGAGAGAAAGCCAACTGGAAAGCTTATTGAAAAGTTCTAAAATTAGAAGGCTTTATTAGTTGCTATATTATATGATAATATGCAAGTACTTCCTAAGAAAACTGCAGTAAAATGTAGGGTGTTCTGTGTGGTTTTCTTCCCTTTTCCATAGTCTGTTACATGATTTTTGTTTTGTGGAACAGAAAAGTGAGGGGACAACAAACTTCTTCATTAGATAACATTTTTTTTTTGGTCATTCTTTTATGTTTAATCGGTTTCTGTGAACAAAACTTGATCAGGGTAGTTTCTATCTTACCTTATCACTGTCATATTTTAAATGAGTATTGTAATGCAGAGGTAACACGTTCATGTATATTTAGCTCTGTAAGCTAGTATTACTAAAAGTGGGCAGTGTGACAAGAGGATAGTCAAAGATGATGGGGGAAATGCACATGAATACCCCCAAAAGAGGTCTTCATTAACCTTTTGTGTGGAGTACCTGTCAAAGAGTTCCTGTAGCCAATACTCTTTTCTTATAGTTTCAAGATCGGTTGAGACATCTGTCTCTCTTGTGTTGCTGAAATCCCTTTAGGAAGGGTTAGAAGGTGCTTCGCTTCTGCTTATGAGCTTAAAAAGCAAACGGTATTAAAAAGTATGAACTGGATTGAAGCTAATGAAAGTAATAGTCTGTATTACAACATAAAATAGCGTATACAGCTGTGGCAGATATTTCTGCACCACAAAACTAGAGTGGGAAGGATCTTGTGATTTTGAAATGGAAACAATTAGTACAAGGGGATGAATATTGTTTATCTGGGAAAAGAAATAATGCCTATTCTAACTTGTATGGAAATAATTAAAGACATACATAAGTTCTTATTCTTCCCCCTCTTCTAAAACAAGAGATGGTCAAGGGTAGCACACTTTAAATAGTTAGAAGGACATCATGCTAATCTCCTATCAAAAATATGACTGTTTTCTTTGGATTCCTTGCTGCATCATACCAGTGAGGTAATGAAGTTATGGAGATCTGCAGATGAACATATTCTAAAAGCTACAGCTGTGGCAGTTGTCTTGCTCTTTCTTAAACGGGGTTGTCCCCCCTTCTGGAACTTGTGGTGGTGGTGGTCAGTCTTAAAAGAGAGCACCATGTCAGTGGACCTCAGGACTGAGTCAGTATTTCTGTGGTATCAAAAGGAATA